AGATTGCTTTTTTTACTGACTAAAATACTGTATTTAGTAAGAAGGGTCAGAAGATAAAGCAGATGTAATTTCCTAGAAAAGTGAATGCAACAAACCAATACTAAACAAAAACAAAGAAAATCTTTATCTCAATAAATCCTTTCATAACTGACACCATAATTTCCTCTCATATCAATGTCCCACATATAACCTAGTTGCTTTAATAACACATGGCTCTCTACCCATGTTCTCTCAGCATGGCAGAAACTACAAATCCATTAAATCCATTGTTATGAGTGGCTACACTACACACCGAAGGATGTTCAGCAGCATCCCTAAAGTCTACCTGTTACATATCAGTGTATCTGTCATCTTCTAGTTACAACAATTAAAACTGCCACATGTCTCTTGGGGAGGAAGAGCACAAAATCAACCTCAGTTGAAAGCAACTGTTCCATGCTCTTGTCAACATTTTCCCCTTTTCTCTGCAGAAAATTTACACTCATTTTTCAAGACCCATCTTAACAGTTGTTACCTCCAACATGAAGTTTCCTCCAATTGAAAGTTAAGGAAGTCCTTCCTCTTATAACCATCCTCTTTTACATCTCATTATTGAGATTTTATTGATTTCAAGTATTCAAGAAAGGCTTCTCAATAAAAGAATATGAGCCTTTCCTAAAAGCATCCCATGTGAAAACAGTGCCATTGCCAAGAGAAAATTTGGTTCACGGAATGTCTTTCAATGAACAATATAGCACAAAAAAAGTTCTTTTTTTTTTTTGTTTGCCTTTGATCCTGGGAAGCTGAGATTAAATAACATACTTAGTTTTAGTAACCAAAAGTTCTTTCATGTCTAGGTCTTTGATAGTCTTATATATCTTTTTTGCTTTTTCTCTTTTCCTTGCTGTTTTGTTCTGTCTTTCATTTTTTGGCAGGCAAATGTTCTGCCATTAATCTACATCCCCAGTCAGCAGCTTGAACTTTGACCTATCCATTATTCATTATGTTTTAACATCAAAAGTTGTTTTGAAGTCTTCTTTGGAATATGACTAGGTAAAACTTGCAAATATAGAAAAATAGAACAAAAACATTATACTATAAAGACTGTATTTAGAAAATAAACTGAACACTAAATAGCAATTTCTGATTTTTATTCTCTGTTAATCCAGTTTCTCTCCAGTTAGTTCAAGAGATATCACAAATGTTCAAGAAAAATTAGAATTAATTTATGCACACATATACATCTTGATGAAATGCGCACAAACCAATACATTTCTGGAGGAAGGTGAAGAACTAGAAGCCAGGAAATATTAAAAAAAAAAATAATAGAATGTCACATTCCAGAAAGGCTGGAAATTATTGACATTAAGAGACCTCCTGAATATTTTGTGCCCTGAGGCTGATATTCCATACCTGCATCTTTTGTATCCTGAGGAATCCATACTATTTCTCAAATCTTAGAATTGGTCTGTGTTGCCACAGCTTTAAAAATAAGCCCAACAATTTCAATTTCTAAATATTGGTCCTAAGTTGCTATTAAAATTAATATTCTTATTTAGCAGTGTTTCTACAAATAACTTAAGCTTAGAAGATTCATTTAGTGCCTGTGGTCAATTCATAAGACGAGGAGATTAATCAGGAAAGGACCATCCACCTATACAGCCTGAGAAATGTGACAAAATAAATATGCAAATGCAGTATCCTGAAGGCTGACAAGTTTCTATTATTAAACTGCTAACGTGTTTATTTTCCCCACAATAGCTGGAGTTTTGTCATGAATACGCATTAAGCCTTTAGTTATTAGCTGTGATGACTAGGTGACAGTGAGGACACTACTTGAGAATTTGCATTTGACAGATCATTGACACACACAGTTCCTTTTTTCTCTCCCTCTTCACTTAAACAGAAATGGTGCAATAGGAAATGAACAAGAGCCATCAGAGATTACTCAGGTTTAATAGCACACATCCTTTTAGCTGGCGGTTAGAACAATACACAATGTGGCAGAGTTAAACAGAGGCATCAATTATACTCTCAGACCTGTTAATATTTTTGACAATATTTAAATAGCACATCCCTTCAGGGCATAGCTTTTTTGCCCTCTCAGTTACACACCTGTCAAGTATTTAATTTGCCAAAGGGAAACAGTTTGATTTCTAAGGGCAGTCTTAATACTGAAGAACCAAATTGCAAAAATTAAACATTATTGAATAAAAGTAATGAGAAGGATCTGAGGGGAAAAAAAATTGCAGGCTTAATTCAACATGGCATGTCAGCATCTGTCAGTAAGCAACAATATGATCATGTTCTCCAATATGCTGTATATACTGTGGGCATTTCAATTATGTGCTCTCTCTGGTTCTCTAGAAAGATGGGAAAATGAAGAAAAGAGAAAGTGGAGAACTCAAATTTCTAGTGATTGTAAAAAAGATGGATACAGTAGCTTATCCCGCTGTGCATATCAAATTGTACATTTGAAAACTTAACTTGGGCATAAGGTAGCCAATAAAAGCTAGCCAATGCTAAGATTTGTGTAGACTCTGCTTTAAAAATATAAAACAAATTATGTTCTTTAGGTGTATTAATTATTAAGTTACAAACATTAAATTAGCAGTTCGCAAATCTAACACGATGAAGTCTAGAAAACTTAATTTAAATGTTAAAATAGAAGATAATATAGCTTTTGAAATTTCATTGTAATCATCAGGGAGAAAAAAGCTGGCAAATAACGAGAATTGAATAAAGAATGGAAACTGTGGTGAAAAAAAAATCACAAAAATTTTTGAGAATTTTATCAAAATGAAACTCTTCACTCTAGCAATTAAGTTTCTACCCCACTGGGGGAAAAAAAAAAGATATAAGATAGGCTACAGAGCCAAAACAAGGAAAGGACTATTTTGGGAGCAAAAAAAAAAAAAAAAAAAAAAAACCTAGTCTGACTATCCTTGTAAATAAGCCACTTGACATCTCTGAGCCACTGGTTGAAACAGGATGTGAACTGCATGTTTTCCTTGGCCCATTTTGAGTGTTCATTTTCTCTCACGCATGAAAAATGATTAAGGAGACCAAAGTCCAAAAACATGTAAGAAATGCCAGTAAGAAATGCCACAGAGCTCAAAGCTTAACTTTGAAATATAACCTTAACCATCAATAAAACAATATAATACTATATTAACAAAAAATTGGAAGTTTCGTGATTATGGATTCCAAGTAGACTTCATCTGAATCATGTAGGACCCAAATACCAGTAAATCCCCAAATTATAAATATTTAAGTTGCAAACTCTGTCATACACTAAAGGACCACAAATTGTATAATCAGCTCACAGTGTCTATCCTTACCATTTTAAGGTAACTGTAAAAATAGCTTATCTACAGTTGTACTGTACTGGACCATAATTTAAAGGTAATTATAAAAGTAAAAATAATTTATTTACAATAATTTATGTGTGTGTTTGATTTTTAATGCTTTATGTCAAAGGTCTAAGAGTCACTCTGTAGGCCTTCCAAATAAATCTGATTTAAGAACATCCTCCCATAAATCAGGGACTTACCTGCATTGGAAATGTAAAACAAGCTCAGTAAATGTCTTTATTTTCTCTTTGCATTAAGCAGAATGGACTGAAAAACCTAGGAACTGTTGAGTTATCCACTGAACTAATAGTAGAGATACTAACAGTATCTGCTGGTATTCTTTGTTTCAACTGTCCTATCATTCTCATCATATTTTCACTCACTACAGTAAGACACAAAACATATGTTTAACTTCTTTATGACCTAAAAGAAACAAGATAATTTTCAACATTATAATTACACTTACATTTAGAGTACCGGTTTCTCCAAAACCTTGCCAATGCATTCGGGAAATGTGTTATGAAAACCAGTCTTTTAACTTGCAAAAGGGATAAATGCAACCCAACTACATATATAAAAAAGCATTATAAATCCATGATTGTGACTTTCCAACCCAAGCAGAAATTCACTACAGAAAAATAGTTTTGAGGTTCCTCTTGATTTACTTTTTTTTGGGGCAGGGGGCTTAAAAAGGTACAGAAATACATATCTAGATTAAGATCCTACATAACATTAAATTCTCCCTCTAATCCTTCTTGTTCGTTTTTATTGGCAGTTTTAATTTTTAATTGAAGCTTTTCTTTCACTGAATTATGAAATTATCCTTCAAGTCTCAGTTTTAACTATTAAGGGAGAATATCTGCTAGCAAAGCATCCATAATCATTAATTAAATTAACGCTAAAAACATGAGAATGAGAACTGACATGAAGGCATAATTAGAATGATTTCAAACCTTGTGACAATAAGAACTGTTTTAAAAATATTTTTAAAAACCTAAAAAATGTTGATTGAATTAAAGGAAGTTCAAACAGCATTTGACTTCAGTTTCATTCAGCCATTGGAATGTATTTCAATTTTAATATAAGTGCTCAAACTTTTTAATGCTCATAATTTTCACAGGAAAACACTGTTACATTTAGAAGTTCTAATGTTTATCACCATCTGATGCTGTCATGGAAGCAATTGCTACTTACACTCTTTTATGAAGTGAGAATTGCAATTTCTCTAACTGATGACAATGTAATTATTTCTATTACTGTCAAAATAGAGGCGATTTCCCTTCCTTACACACCTGACCACACATGCAAATTGAAGTACACTATATTTCTGAATCTGAATGAGAAGATCACATGAACAATGAGCCTAGTGATCATGGAAAACAAGCCTACATACATTCACCCTAAACATTTTTACATCTTTTTGTCTTCTATAGGAACTCATTCCTTAGCATCTACACAGCTTTCAACACAGTGTCATATCATCTACAATACAAGCAACAGCCCTTACAAAAATAACTGGAGGAAAAAATTAACAGTAAATCTGAATGTCTTGCTTGGAGATTTAAATGACTTCATTAACATGTACAAAAATCACTTTAGAAAAACACAGGCTTTCTTCACAAGAGCTATCCCACACTGAGAATGCAGGCTCAGTCAGTGATGTCCTACCTGGTCTTTCAGCTGCTGTACAGAGGCCTGTAGGTTGAGAATCTGACTAAAGAGAGGGCTCTGCAGCACCGACTTCAGAAGGCTTAGTTTGTCTTCATTTGCTATATCCCCACGTTCTCGGAGCTTGGCTTGCAGGCGCTCTGCTGCTTGCAGGGCCCGATTTTTGTCTGTTACAAAAAACAGCATTAGTTAATACCACTATTCAAAATACCTCCTAAGTCAAACTTAGGAGGACTCCATGCTCGTAGAAATCCTAAAACTCTTTTTTTGTGAGTACAAAATTGAACAAAAGTACAAAAAATTTTAATGGAGTACAAAAGTATAAGAAGTAGATGGTTGAGTACTTTGTGATACTTTAAACATTTTCCCTCAAAATTAAATAGCACATTAAATACATGGCTTGCATCTAGATTTCCCCCTAAACCCTCATGTGGTCATAGGTATTTCTTCAGAGATGGCTGGATCTACATTATGTGATTGATTCGTGATGCAATGATAGGTTAAAGGTGCTAGGATTAAAGGTGTGAATGCTATCTGCCTAATGGCAGGACAGCCTGACTACACTATAAGGGAATGAGGCTTGCTGCTACTTACTGGTCCCTTGTTTCCTGGATGTGTTACTTGATTGCTTTTGCTATCTTCTGCCTGCCATAAACTGCTGGTCCTCTGCAATGCCCCTCAGGCCAGGGATTCTGTTTAGTCCAAGTATGGACTAAAACCGTACAAACTATGAGCCTAAAATCCTTTCCTCCTTTTAGTATGGGTGTTGAATATTTTGTCCCTGCAATAAGAAAAGTAACTAAGAGAAACAGTATGTATACATATGATTTAAATCAATCTAATTGGTTGATTTATGTGGAGAATCATAAATGTGCCTTTCAAACCTTGAAGTACCTTGTAAGAGTTTTTTTAAAAGCAGAGAACCAGGTGTAATGTATGAAACCTACATAAATATCTTATTTAATGTGGGGGGAACAGTATTTAATGAATAAAATAAAATAATTTTTTAAAGAACATATATTATTATGAGGCACTTCTAAGAAAATTCAAAATTATACAATGCTTTGCTCCTTGATATATAAAACTACTATAGCTTGGATGCTGTGATTCATCAAACACAATATCTATATCCAGATAGATTGCTAAGTTTTCTTCTACATAAATAAAAACGTATATATCTTTTAAAGAAGAGATCATATCAGATCCTTGTAAAATCACAAAATTAATTCAAGTTATATATATTTTAACTCCAATGCCAGCTGTTTCAACTCTTTCATAAAAATTACATACAACCAAACTGTGATCATAAAAGTGCTAATTCACAAAATCCAAAATATAAGAATTTTATGTATTAATGAGCAAAACATTCTATAAGCGAGAATTTATGCAAAATATATCAGAATAATGCATGCTCTCAAAATCATTTGATTTTATTTATTGAAACTCACTTTGTCTTACTATTCGTAACAGTTAATGGCAGCAGAAGACAGTAAAAACAAGAACAAAAAGGGAAAAGGACAACAGAAGACACATTCTGTCCCTTATATTGTATGTAGGCTACCCAAACTGGGGGTGGAGGGTAGCACTCATACCCATAACCTAACAGCTTAATCACAAACTAACAATAAATCAATTGCAAACTCTAGATTCAGCCTCCTCTGAATGGCAACCCCCCTTTATTACTGCATGAGGGCTTTGGGAGACACAAACCATAACAACTTGTCCCTGGCCTAAAGACTCATGCACATCCCTGTGTACAAAAGACATTTAGTCCACCTTCAAAGGTTACCAAAGTTCTAACAGTTTCAGCATTGCTGAATAGTGCAAGTCCCCAATCTCCTCTGAGATATGAGGCAAACTCTCAGCTGTGAGCTCCTGCATAAATGAAAAGTTAAACACTCCCAACATTCAATGGCACTTAAGACATTTTCATTTCAAAAGTTACAAACAGGGGGATACAAAGGTATGGGACCAAAACAAATCCAGAATCCAGGAGGGCAAACATTAAGTACTTAAGTTCCACATGGAACATTCGAAGCCAGTAGGTGTTAACACCCAAGGATTCTAAGAACTCTCTCTACTCTCTCTTTGCAGGTTTCCTCAAACAATCCATAGTTGTGGCTTTTCCAAACTTCTGGGGTATCCACTGAACCTCTGGCTTCACACTCTGCTTCACACACTCAGGGCTACACTGCCTGGCCTGCTAGGCCTTCTGAAATCAGGGTGGAAGTCTCCTGCATCCCATAACTCCTGCATCCTGCATGTGCCTAAACAGCACCTTGTGGATACTGCCAAGCTCTGCTGCCAGCTGAAGTGGCTTCACTCTCTCTTGGTTGTAGGGGTTTAGTGCCTGGATCAGTGAGCACTTTGAATTCAATTCTGAGCAACAAATTCTCTATGTCACTGCATTTCAGAATATGGCATGGCTGCTGCCATTCTGGAACATGGTACTCTGCATTTTCTTCTCAAGCAAAGTCTTTCACTTTTGCAGTTTTGAGGCTGCAAAAGGTGGAGAGTGGTTGCTTTCTCTGATGCCCTCAAGCTACCTTTTGTAGTCTTATTTCTTCTCAGTAATCAAGATCTGCTCTGCTCTATCTTTCCAGTCCATAGCTTTAGTGGAGCTTTTATCTGGACATACTCATAACATTTTAAAGCATTCTACTGAGTTATTTGCTCTTGATTCTCAACATAAATCTGGCTAAAATTCCCCAACAATAGCCATGCCACCAACTCAATATTGGACTGCCACCCTTAATCTTAGACTCAGGCAAAGTCTCTGAACATGAGCAAAATGCAGATAAATCTTCTGCCAAGCTGTAACACACATCGTCTGAACTCCAGCAGTCAATACAGTCCTCCTTTCTAGCAAAAACCTCCAAAGGCTGGTCTTTACCAACAAGACTTCTATCAGCTTTCTGGTCTTCTGAGTTCTGATCAGAATCTCCCATACAGAGTAGCCTAACATGTTCCAGCACTACTCTTTTTCAACATTTTCAAAGCTTTCTAAACTCTTCCCTCAAGCCATTCCCAAAGGCTCTTGAACCACATGGTCAGGTATAGCCACAGCAATGACCCCATTTTTAGTACCAAATTCTATGTTGGTTACTTTTCTCTTGTTGCTAAGACAAAATGTCTGATGCCCAAAATGAAGGGAGGAAAGGATTATTTCATAGATTATAGAGACTTCAGTCCAGATCAGCTGGTTCCAAGGCAGGTTGGTATGGCAGAGGGGCAACAGATAATTGCAGCAGAAGACAGTAAAAGTAACAAGAGCAAAAGGAAGAAGCGCAAAAGAAGGACTCCTTCTGTCCCTTACATTGTATGCAGGCTACCAAAACTAGCATAAGTGTAACACTCACATTCATAATCCCAGCACTAACAATGAATAGATCACGCATTCTAGTTTCAGTCACCTCTGAAACACTCTTTTACGACAGTTATGAGGTTTCGGGGGACATCCAGAAACAATCTATAACATGCCCCCCAAGTTAAGTAACATATTTATATGTTTCAAACTAATTGAATTCAAATAGTTATTAAGCATCTCACATATCATGCACTAAAGTGCAATGGTAAATATTTTTAATACATCCTAATATCTTACTTGCATGTTTCCTGCAGTCATTACAAGAGATTACTTTCAACAGTTCCAAATCTGAAATTATGCAGAAATGGGGTAACTGAAACATACTTTTATCATAAATTCACATGTACATGCAGATTAAAATAAATAATATTTTCCCATGAAAAAATGTTAATGCAAATAATGATAAAGATACGCCTGAGAATTTTGTTCTGGGTTATATTTCCCATGATATCTCAGAATATTAATCTATTACTAATTTTAATGATAATTTTTAAAAGGTTTAAAACTCAGTACTAGCTAACAGAATAGAAGAAAATAATGGTTGAAGCTATTCTGAATATCCTCTTTCTACTTTCTTGTGAGGAACTGCCTTGTGGAGGCTAGTACCTTTTATGATCTGATGTCTGTATAGAGTGATGTAGGACATGTACATGTAGTGTTTTTATGATCAGCCTAATACCAGGTTTAAAAGTTGTGTGATCACCAAAACAAAACAAAACCTCCTTTTCCCTTCACTGCCACCTACTTTACTTTTACCCATCCCTCCCATAACCTGCCAAGGAATCAAACATAATCATCAAGGTGCCACATTGAAATCACTGACTCATTCCAATCTGCATATATAAGTAGTTATCTAAAATCTATAAGGGATTGAGTTGTCAGATGAATGCAGGTCTGTATAACACTCCATATACCTGTAAATAGTTTTTTATGCTAATTTCTTTAAATTAACACAATTAACACATGAGCTCGAGATATCTGGATATTTAAACCTAAATTCACATAGATATTAAAATGCATTAAATGAAGTTTTCTAGCCTCAGTGCTTGTCACTGATCTCTTTAATTAAAAGCAAGAGCTCAGTAGTATTTCAACTGCTACAAATATAAAGAAAAACGAATGATCTTCATTTGTATCAAAAAAGACTATTAAACTCCCTGATGCAATCCAGAAACATATATTAATAGGAACTAGGTTAAAAAAATCAGAATTGGATGTACATTTTATTAAGACCCATAACTGAAGCACATTTCATGTTTATTTCTGCTTAAAGCAATAGGTTTTTATAACAGGAAGAATTGTTCAAGTGCAGAAATGCATTACTATAGTACAATGCTCATTTTTAGAACTTTAAATCTAAGTTCTTATAGTCAGGATCCTACTGTGAAGAACATATTATATTCAAATATTCCAATGGAAAGAATTTCAATTCTTACAAAGATAAAAGTATGTCTTACCTATGGTTTCCAACATTTTTTTTTCAAAGTTCAATGTTTTCCTCTATAATGATTAAAAACAGCAACTAAAATTGAACCCTGGAGAGAAAAGAAATAAAATTTTTATGTTTTATCAGAACTTTATATTCCAAAACTATCCTAAAAAGCATTTGATTCAATTATAATTCCTTTGAGTATTAAAATCATATTGATTTAACTTAATACTGTTATCTTTATAGGCAAAAAATAGATATTTTATAACATACTCAAAATGATACAAGCTTTCAATAATACTTGTATAACAAAGAAGATACTAATTTTATTTTAAATAAGATGATAAATGTTTCCAAATAACTTAAGAGGCTCACAATATAGAAAATTGTGATCTCAGATTAATGTATAGATTCTTAACCACAGAATAAGGAGCTTACTTCAGTAAAGAAATCTGAGGGTAACAGTGTTGTTTACAAAAGCTATAATCTTGCCCTGAAATATTCAGAGCCTTTACTGGAGAAATAATAAACACATAGACATTCAAGAAGAATGATGACATAAATCAGTATATTGACCACTGGGAGATAATACATTAAATCACAGATTAAAAACTGGATAAAAAGTATAGTTTTACATGCTTCAAATGTATTTAAAATACCTTCCCATTGACCATAATCATCTTCCCTTTCAAAAAAGAAAAGCTTTTCAATTTCTTCAACACACAAAGATCTCAACCTTTCTCTAACAATACTTAACCAGATTATTTTCATACAGTTCTGCATTGCCTACAGATCTACACTGCACACAAATTTTCAATCTTCCAGTGTCCACATCACTGACCATGTTTATCTGTCCAACAATTCTAACAATTGTCTCCATAGCTATATCTTTGGTTGGCCTCTCAGAAAATCCTAAAGTCATTAAGAAGTCAGTTGATCATTCTTCCAGTGAAGAAAAGGAATTTATAATGTACCAATCATTTCAATTCCATTTTCCTAGAAAACATTCATCCAGAATCTTGTGATAAATGTGATAAAGTATGCAATTTACAGCTCACAGAATACCTCATAACTATAAAATATATATCTAAGATGAATGCTGAGTCCATATTGATAGTCATCAAGAGGCAGAATACAGACAGGTCTTAAAAATAAACTAGCAGTAGTGACAAGGAGGTGATCTCTGCCTGGAAACCAGTGGCACGCGCGCGGGCTGCTGCCAGAGTGGGGACAGCGGGCACCCAAGCCTCGCTCTGAGTCAGCACCATTTGAGGACTGTAGGGTAAGAACCAGCCTCACCAGGAGGTGATCCCTGGGGATTTAGCTCAGCGGCATAAGCTCCTGCCTTACAAGCAAGCAGTTGTGAGTTCGATCCCTGGTACCGATAAAAATGAAAAAGACAAAAAAAAAAAAAAAAAAAAAAAAAGAAACCATATCATTTTCATTGTTTTCTTGGGCTGAGTTTTATTCTTTGTTTTGTTTGATTATGTTAATATGATGGCAGGAGCACCTATTTAAAAGATAGCAAGCCACAGTATGGTAGCTATTTTGGATTTACTATCAGCTTATTTTGAATGCTTTATTGCATTCACTTTTGTTTCTATTGTTTCTGCTCTATTCAGTTCTATTTAATTTTTATGTCTAAAGGTATCTGCAGCTATTTTGAAGACAACAAAAGGCATGGTAACTATTACTGACTTCATAAGGTTTTGAAGATCTGTATCACTTATACTAGTTTATCTTGATTGATTTTATTGTTTTATTTTCCTTTTAACCTCTTTAAAATAAACTAGCAGTATTTTAATTCCTATTTATAAGGATTATAAAGTACCCCATAAAAGAGCATTGTGGTGGACCACGTCCATAATCCCAGCACCCTGGGAAACTGAGGCACGAGCATCAGTCTGGGCAACTGTCTCTAAATAAAAACATTTTTAAAAATAAGGCTGGGAACGTAGCTCATTGTGAAGGCCCTGGCTTCATTCCCCAGTACCACAAAAAATAAATTAAGTTAAATAGTATACTACTAGGTACATTCTTCAATAATTATCTTCTGATAATAAAGGAAAAAAAGTAAGGATACCATAGTATAAGACAGTCTGTTTCTACTAATGTATTTCTAATTAAGTAACTAGGGCATTTATAAAAAACAATGGTCAAGCATGAGCAAGAAAGTAGGACAACCCAATCACTAACTAACTATAAGCCCTCATTAAGTTACCTATCTTTGCTGAATCTAAATCTATTCACAAATGAACAGCATTTATAAAGTATAAAGAAAAAGTTTACAAGTATTAGGAATTGGTATGTACAATAAAGTTTAGTTTCTTCCATTTGTCTAACAAAAGATTAGTTCAGAAAGAGGCAGTATTGAGGGCATAGGGAGAAGTAGTTGATGAATTAGAAGCTCACTGATTTATGAAGAGTGGATAGACTCTAAAGCAGGCAGCTGCCAACACAGAAAAACACTGCTGTCCAAAGTTCACCATTAAGTCAGTATTATACCCCTTTCCAAATAAAACACTTAGGGTTAAAAGATAAAAGCAATTCAGCTGCAAGCCATTTGCAGCATCTCTTAAAAGCACTAACACTGTAGACTTTAGTTATTTTTTAGAAAGTATAGTTTCACTGTTTTTCTCTTATGATCTCATTTTCATAAATAAAAACAGCTTTTGAAAGTTTCCAAGGAAATATATCATATTAATCATGGCAAAGAGATACAAGTTTAAAAAATTGTTCCTATGTATTTTAGAAATCATTGGTAGGCCTGTCCTACAGGTTTAAACAAATCATTTTTAAAATGTAAAATTTTTTAAATCATCAAGAAAACAGTTCTTTATAATAATATTCAAATTACAGTTGAAAATATGTCTGATAGGCTAGGAACGCTCATAGGCAGAGCATTTGCTTAAGTATGGACCAATCCCTGGGTTTGATTCACCACCACCACTGCCACCACCAAAAAAAAAAAAAAAAAAAAAAAGGCTGATGTATTTCAAGGTACTAAATCCACACAAGCATTAACAATGTTCCACTGTTACTCTAGTTCACCAGCTACTAGTCATTCTACTCTTAGCTGTATCACTATTGTGGAAACCATGTACACAGAAGCACAAGAAACATCAATAGTATCTCAATGCATTCTTATCTATTAGGCATATATTACATCATGAGAGCAAGGACCCTGACCATCTTGTATCCCCACAGTATTTTCTAGTGTTTCATATAGCACTCTTCCCATTCTCTAGAAAGACAACAGAGAAAGACCTACACAAGGCCACCAAGTAGTAAGTATAAGAAGCTGGAATTTGAAACAAATCATGCCCAATTTCAAAGACTACCCTTTTCACACTACCTCACAGTTTTCACACAACCTTGTAAAAAAAATTCACATGGTTGAAATATATCCTCAAATTTGAAAAATAAGGTGCAAGACAATGTATAAAGTTGTTACATCTTGTATAAGGGAAAATGTGCAAGTAACAATTAACAGAGATATGTTTATAAAGCATAAGAAGTACACATGTAAATAAAACTAACCAGTATATGTTTATAAAGCATCAGAGGCACATGTTTATAAACTACTTATGCAAGTTTTTTTCAAAGACACCAATAGTGAATAGAATGTGACAGAGCCAGAGAACACTGATATTCACTTCTCATTGTATTCTTTTTACAATGTATCTTATTACAGACTAGTCAGATTCAAAAAAATTGATATTTACATAAATGAGTAACTTTTAATGTGTATCTCCAAGAATATTTGAGTTAAAGTCTCATTGTTCATTTCTCTGAAATTCAAGTTTAATGTGAAATTATTTGTTTTTTACCTGGCAACCTTATTATATATGTATTTGGCTAGAAAAGTAAAATTTAAAAAATCATTTTTAATTTAAGATGTGTGTCCCTCCTGTCATGACAGTTGTCAAATCCTTAATAAACCTCTAAAGGTTGTCCTTTGACTACAGGATTCCCTGAAGACTAGCTGATAACTCTAGTTTCAGGGGATAAAAATCAAACAATATTTGGTGCTACTAAGAAACAAAAACTGACTAAGAAAGCACCTTGCTTCCCAACAAGTTGTACTATATGTAGTATAGAGTCAGTGCTTCAAACAACATAAATCATTTGACTCAATACAGATTTCATAGCAACTAACAAATGAAAATATTTTGCATAAAAATAACTATGTAGAAGAAAATGCCTCAAAGCACATAAAACTTTTTAATACCTTAAAAAAAATTGATGGCAAAATACATTAAAAGAGCTTGCTGCAGTGAGCTGGGGTTTAGCTCAGTGGCACAAGTGCCTATCTGGCAAGCACAAGGTCACAAATTCAATGCCCGGTACAGGAAGAAAAAAAAAAAAAAAAAAAAGCTTGTTGCAATGCTTTGTGGCTTGTCAAAGTTGTCCAGCCTCTGTTATTGCATTTACATTTCGCGTTTATCTTATTTATCACTGCTTCAGCACCACATGAAATTAGCACAAAATAGTGAGATTGCAGTGATTTGCAGAAAGTTTACCTAAATTCAGTTGCTAATGATAGCATATTGATAGGGAGTAAATTGCCTATTCAATTGCTTATGATAGTATATTTACATTTTCAGTCATAATTCAAACTTTTGTGTAACATTACTGATCCATTGCTCCCAAAGCAAAAAGTCAAAAAGTCTCAGTATCCATCATGTAGACACGCAACAGAAAATAATTTTTAACATGTGGTCTTTTTTTAATGTTCTTTTGAACTTCTCAGTTTATTTTTATAGGCTTTAATCAAAAAGCAGTCCTGAACACAGTTTTTATTTTCAAATTCACCATTTTAAATCTCCCTGAATTCCTAAAAGACTGATAGAATTTATCAAACTATTTTATTCTCCAAAATTAAAAAATATTAGGTATCAGGAATATCAACTTTATAACATAATTCAAATGGTGATTGTTTTTAAATTGAGAATATTGCCCTTCCTTTATAAAGCCATAAGGTACTTACCTAAATTGAAAATACAGAGTTAGAAGAGAATTCAAATTCTGTCACTCGATTCAACAAATGCACATAGTACATACATGGACTAGTGGCCAAATTAGATAAATGAAGTTTTCATTCTG